ATAAAATACATGTATATGTTTGGCTGGGAGTGGTGGCTCACACCTGTAATCCCAGTACTTTGTGGGAGGCTGAGGTGGGTGGATCACGAGGTCAGGATTTCGAGACCAGCCTGGCTAATATGGTGAAACCCCATCTCTACTAAAAAATACAAAAATTGAGCCAGGCATGGTGGTGCACACCTGTAGTCCCAGCTACAGGAGAGTCGCTTGAAACCCAAGAGGCGGAAGTTGCAGAGCTGAGATCATGACACTGCACTCCAGCCTGGGCAACAGAGCAAGACTCCATCTCAAAAAAAAAAAAAAAAGAAAAGAAAAGAAAAGAAGGATAAACTACTGGATTTTAACCTGAGCATTTCCTGGATGGGGCAGTTTAGAGGTAAAAATTAATAATTAATAGTGTGGTTTTGGACATGTTAAAGTTCAGATGTTGATTGCACATCCAAGCAAAGATTTTAAGAAGGGACAGTTAGCTTTATGAGACTGGAAGTAAAGGTTTTAGAGAGTTGTCAACATGCAGCTGATAGTTAAAGCCCTGAAACTAAATGAAGTTAGCTAGGGAGAGCGTAGGTGTATTAGAAAATCCAAAGACCAGGTATGAGTGTCTGGTAAGTTCAAGGGACTAAATGTAAAAGTGCTTAGCCCATACTAAATGCCAAAATGTGTGCTGTGATTGTTTTAGGGGCTTTACTTCTTAGAGATGTCCTCAGCTTCAAGTGCATAAGGTTGGTAGAGTTACAAAAGACAAAGAGGGCCCAAACTTCAGCACTGCCATACCTCTTCTCCCCTCTTTAGGTAGCCACATGACTGCTTGTTGGGGATCTGTGTTTACTCCCCATCTTACCCATGTCTTGGGTGTTTATGAAGTCATCTTGAGGGGTAGAACATGCTGTAATACTGGCTTTGGAACATTGTGTTAGGTGAGGCAGGCTCCTCTAGGGCTTTGTGCAGAGAAACCTTATTGGTTTGTGGGTTTACTAAGCTGCCTGTGGGCATTAACTGGAATGGAAGTTTCTTTTCAACAAATACTGATATATGCAGTAAGAAGGAAGAGGGTCATAATGTGTTGTCACTACACTCACTGTGATGCCTTTGCCCAAAGGCAGATTGCAAGCCTTAAGCCTGGGTGAAGATGCCCAAAACATTGCTTCTAAGAAGGTTTCACAGACTTTCCATAAAAGACAGGGAAGGCCCAGGTCTCACAGTTCACCCAACTTTGATGTTAAGACTTCTCTACAGTTCTGTTATATCTGCGGCCTCTCTTCCTAGGATAATCTTGTCTTAGATATTAATTGCTAATATTTTTCAAATCAAAAGAAGGCTGTAATTCAGTTTCCATCTCGTATACTGACAGGACAGCAATTGTTATAACCCTGAAGTGAACCATATCCAGACCTTGTGATTCAAAATTGTTTACAATGTGACTACTTTGGCTCTAATGATAAAAGTCACAGTTAACAAATGAATGAATGAATCCATCAATCCCAATGTATACTTTGTTCTTATCCCTTAAAAGGCTCTCATGCTCCATGTCATAGTCTGCAGCATATAAAAAAACATGGAAGTGCTGGGCTTGCACCTCAAACCAAGCAGGTGTGTGTAGAGTATGAGAGAGAGGAGACTGTGGTGAGTCCCTGGACAATACCTTCAGAAATCCATAAGATTCTTCACGAGAGTCACAATACCCTTCTACAAGTAAGCATTGTTCTAGATTTTGTTTGTGTAGTGATTGCTGTATGTTCTTCAGTTTGTTTTGTTTTGTTTTGTTTGTTTTTTGTAGGATGTGGAGATACTGAAAAGTTGTTAGGTCAGTTTGAAATCGTGATGCAAAGCATCTTCCCCTTTGGCTTAGTACTTCCAGCATTTATCTTTCAGAATTCTCTGTGACTGTATTTTTTAAGAAAAAATGACCAAATGTAAGAACATATAATCGTACTACATGTATCAACATCCATTCTGCCCTGTCTTCAGATCTGGTGCCAGCATCTTATTGTGTGAAATGATGTTCAGCTACTGTCCATCTGGATATGCTGGGCAACAACAGCCCTATTTCCTGGCACATTTCCTTCAGCCCTTTGATGAATGAGCAACTCTAGAATTTTTGGAAAGCTTAGTTCACATTCCACGTTTTTTGTTTGTTTTTAGGGACTAGGACCACAACTGACTATCTTTTCAATTCAATAGGACTTGTCTCCAACTGAAGAGGAAGAGCTGGAGCATCCTTTTGGGGTGGGTGGCATGGACAGTGTGTCTGAGAGCACTGGCAGCATCCTCAGCAAGCTGGACTGGAACGCCGTCGAAGACATGGTGGCCAGCGTGGAGGACCAGAGCCTGTCTGCTCCCTGGGCTCTGGACCTGTAAGACATGGATATCATCCTGTTTCCATGGACAGGCCAGCACCTCAGTAATGTGGTTGTGAAAGTATGGGACAGAAGCAATGAAAGAAGTAATGTGAATTTACCACCTGCTGTCATATTACTACCTGGATTAGTCATTTCAAGAGGAAAAATAAACATTTCTCAATAACTTTAACTTCATGGGGAAAAGGTTGTTTGATTATAGATGTATTAAATGTTTTTGTATTTGATGCATCATTAGGCATAGTTTTTAAAATGATAAGTACCTTTCAAGTTTGCATAACCTACTTTCAATAAAACCCCTCTATCTTGCCTCCTCCTTTATTACCCTCTGAGTTTGGAGAAACAACCATATATAGATGAATCTGATAGGAAAAAAAATTTATCTTTCATTGAGTAGAAAATCACAGTGTCACCTAAGAACTCAATTATGAACCCTATTTTAAAACACGTAGGCAAGGTTTGGCTTAGGAGTGAAAAGGAAAACCAATCACCCTTACCAACCATGAATTTCTTTTTTTTTTTATTGCATTTTAGGTTTTGGGGTACATGTGAAGAACATGCAAGATTGTTGCATAGGTACACACGTGGCAGTGTGATTTGCTGCCTTCCTCCCCATCACCTATATCTGGCATTTCTCCCCATGCTATCTCTCCTCAATTCCCCACCCGCCACTGTCCCTCCCCTATTTCCCCCCAACAGACCCCAGTGTGTGGTGCTCCCCTCCCTGTGTCCATGTGTTCTCACTGTTCAACACCCGCCTATGAGTGACAACATGCAGTGTTTGATTTTCTGTTCTTATGTCAGTTCGCTGAGAATGATGGTTTCCAGGTTCATATATGTCCCTGCAAAGGACACAAACTCATCGTTTTTGTTGGCTGCATAATATTCCATGGTGTATAGGTGCCACATTTTCCCTGTCCAGTCTATCATCGATGGGCATTTGGGTTGGTTCCAGGTCTTTGCCATTGTAAACTGTGCTGCAAGGAACATTCGTGTGCTTGTGTCTTTACAGTTGAACGATTTATAATCCTTTGGATATATACCCAGTAATGGGATTGCTGGGTCAAATGGAATTTCTATTTCTAGCTCCTTGAGGAATCACCACACTGTCTTCCACAATGGTTGAACTAATTTACACTCCCACCAACAGTGTAAAAATGTTCCTATTTCTCTACATCCTCTCCAGCATCTGTTGTCTCCAGATTTTTTAATGATCGTGATTCTAACTGGCGTGAGATGGTATCTCAATGTAGTTTTGATTTGCATTTCTCTAATGACCAGTGATGATGAGCATTTTTTCATATGTTTGTTGGCCTCCTGTATGTCTTCTTCTGTAAAGTGTCTGCTCATATCCTTTGTGCACTTTTAAATGTGCTTGTTTGTTTTTGTCTTGTAAATCTGTTTTAGTTCTTTGTAAATTCTGGATATCAGCCCTTTGTCAGATTGGTAAACTGCAAAAATTTTTTCCCATTCTGTTGGTTGCCAATTCACTCTAATGACTGTTTCTTTTGCCGTGCAGAAGCTGTGGAGTTTGATTAGGTCCCATTTGTCTATTTTGGCTTTTGTTGTCAATGCTTTCTGTGTTTTGGTCATGAAGTCCTTGCCTACGCCTATGTCCTGAATGGTTTTGCCTAGATTTTCTTCTAGGGTTTTATGGTGTTAGGTCTTATGTTGAAGTCTTTAATCCATCTGGAGTTAATTTTAGTGTAAGGTGTCAGGAAGGGGTCCACTTTCTGCTTTCTGCACATGGCTAGCCAGTTTTCCTAACACCATTTATTAAACAAGAAATTCTTTCCCCACTGCTTGCTTTTTTCAGGTTTGTCGAAGATCGGATGGTTGTAGATATGTTGTGTTGCCTCCGAGGCCTCTGTTCTGTTCCGTTGGTCTATATCTCTATTTTCGTACCAGTACCATGCTGTTTTGATTACTGTAGCCTCGTAGTATAGTTTGAAGTCTGGTAGTGTGATGCCTCCCACTTTGTTCTTTTTGCTTAGAATTGACTTGGGTATGTGGGCCCTCTTTTGGTTCCATATGAAGTTTAAGGTGGTTTTTTCTAGTTCTGCGAAGAAGGTCATTGGTAGCTTGATGGGGATAGCATTGAATCTGTAAATTACATTGGGCAGTATAGCCATTTTCACGATATTGATTCTTCCTAACCATGAACATGGAATGTTTCTCCATCTGTTTGTGTCCTCTCTTATTTCGTTGAGCAGAGGCTTGTAGTTCTCCTTGAGAAGGTCCTTTACGTTCCTTGTTAGTTGTATTCCTAGGTATCTTATTCTCTTTGTTGCAATTGTGAATGGCAGTTCGTTCTTGATTTGGCTCTCTTTAGGTCTGTTATTGGTGTATAGGAATGCTTGTGATTTTTGCACATTGATTTTGTATCCTGAGACTTTGCTGAAGTTGCTTATCAGTTTCAGGAGATTTGGGGCTGGGACGATGGGGTCTTCTAGATATACAATCATGTCATCTGCAAATACAGACAATTTGATTTCCTCCTTTCCTATTTGAATACCTTTATTTCTTTTTCTTGCCTGATTGCTCTGGCTAGAACTTCCAGTACTATATTGAATAGGAGTGGTGAGAGAGGGCCTCCTTGTCTAGTGCCAGATTTCAAAGGGAATGCTTCCAGTTTTTGCCCATTCAGTATTATATTGGCTGTTGGTTCATCATAAATAGCTTTTATTATTTTGAGATACATTCAATCAATACCTAGTTTATTGAGGGTTTTTAGCATAAAGCACTGTTGAATTTTGTCAAAGGCCTTCTCTGTATCAATTGAGATAATCATGTGGTTTTTGTCTTTGGTTCTGTTTATGTGGTGAACTATGTTTATAGACTTGCGTATGTTGAACCAGCCTTGCATCCATGGGATGAATCCTACTTGATCATGGTGGATAAGCTTTTTAATATGCTGTTGCAATTGGCTTGCCAGTATTTTATTGAAAATTTTTGCATCTATGTTCATCATGGATATTGGCCTGAAGTTTTCTTTTCTTGGTGAGTCTCTGGCGGGTTTTGGTATCAGGATGATGTTGGTCTCATAAAATGATTTGGGAAGAATTCCCTCTTTTTGGATTATTTGGAATAGTTTCAGAAGGAATGGTACCAGCTCCTCTTTGTATGTGTGGTAGAATTCGGGTGTGAACCCATCTGGACCTGGGCTATTTTGGGTGGTAGGCTCTTAATTGCTGCCTCAACTTCAGACCTTGTTATGGGTCTATTCAGGGTTTTGACTTCTTCCTGGTTTAGGCTTAGGAGGATGCAAGTGTCCAGGAATTTATGCGTTTCTTCCCGGTTTACTAGTTTATGTGCATTGAGTTGTCTGTAATAATCTCTGATGATGGTTTGAATTTCTGTGGAATCTGGTGATACCCCCATTATCGTTTTTTATTGGGTCAATTTGGTTATTCTCTCTTTAATTTTTTATTAATCTTGCTAGTGGTCTATATTGTTGATCTTTTCGAAAAACCAGCTCCTGGATTTATTGATTTTTTGAAGGGTTTTTTGTGTCCCTATCTCCTTCAGTTCTGCTCTGATCTTAGTTATTTCTTGTCTTCTGCTAGATTTTGAGTCTTTTTGATCTTGCTTCTCTAGCTCTTTCAATTTTGATGATAGGGTGTCAATTTTAGGTGTCTCCTTGCTTCTCATGTGGGCATTTATTGCTATATATTTTCCTCTTGACACTGCTTTAAATGTGTCCCAGAGATTCTGGTATGTTGTGTCTTTGTTCTCATTGGTTTCGAAGAACATCTTTATTTCTGCCTTCATTTCACTGTTTATCCAGTCTACATTCAAGAGCAAGTTGTTCAGTTTCCATGAAGCTGTGCAGTTCTGAGTTAGTTTTTGAATTCTGAGTTCTAACTTGATTGCACTGTGGCCTGAGAGACTGTTTGTTATAATTTCCATTCTTTTGCATTTGCTGAGGATTGATTTACTTCGAATTATGTGGTCTGTTTTAGAGTAGGTGTGATGTGGTGCTGAGAAGAATGTATATTCTGTGGATTTGGGGTTTAGAATTCTGTAAATGTCTATTATGTTTGCTTGGTCCAGGTCTGAGTTCAAGTCCTGGATATCCTTGTTAATTTTCTGTCTTGTTGATCTGTCTAATATTGACAATGTGGTGTTAAAGTCTCCCACTATTATTGTGTGGAAGTCTAAGTCTCTTTGTAAGTCATTAAGAACTTGCCTTATGTATCTGGGTGCTCCTGCATTGGATGCATATATATTTAGGATCATTAGCTCTTCTTGTTGCATTGATCCTTTTACCATTATGTAATGTCCCTGTTTGTCTCTTATGATCTTTGTTGCATTAAAGTCTATTTTGTCAGAGATGAGAATTGCAACGCCTGCTTTTTTTGTACTCTCCATTTGCTTGGTAAATCTTCATCTATCCCTTTATTTTGAGCCTTTGTGTATCCTTGCATGTGAGATGGGTTTCCTGGATACAGCACACCGATGGGTTTTGACATTTTATTCTATTTGCCAGTCTGTGTCTTTTGATTTGGGCATTTAGTCCATTTACATTTAGGGTTAATATTGTTATGTATGAATTTGATACTGCCATTTTGATGCTAGCTGGCTGTTTTGCACGTTAGTTGATGCAGATTCTTCATTGTGTTGATGCTCTTTACCATTTGGTATGTTTTTTGAGTGGCTGGTACTGGTTGTTCCTTTCTATATGTAGAGCCTCTTTCAGGAGCTCTTGTAAAGCAGTCCTGTTGGTGATGAAATCTCTGAATACTTGCTTGTTTGCAAAGGATTTTATTTTTCCTTCACTTATGAAGTTTAGTTTGGCTGGATATGAAATTCTGGGTTGAAAGTTCTTTTCTTTAAGGATGTTGAATATTGACCCCCACTCTCTTCTGGCCTGTAGGGTTTCTGCTGAGAGATCTGCTGTGAGTCTGATGGGCTTCACTTTGTGGGTCACCCAACCTTTCTCTCTGGCTACCCTTAGCATTTTCTCCTTCATTTCAACCCTGGTGAATCTGACGTTTATGTTCCTTGGGTTTGCTCTTCTCGAGGAATATCTTTGTGGTGGTCTCTGTATTTCCTGGACTTGAATATTGGCCTGCCTTGTTAGGTTGGGGAATTTTCCTGGACAATATCCTGAAGAGTATTTTTCAGCTTGGATTCATTTGCTTCGTCACATTCAGGTACGCCTGTCAAACGTAGATTAGATCTTTTCACGTAGTCTCACATTTCTTGGAGATTTTCATCATTCCTTTTTACCCTTTTTTCTCTAATCTTGCCTTCTTGTTTTATTTCATTGAGTTGATCTTTGACCTCTGATATCCTTTCTTCTGCTTGGTCAAT